TCGACTTTATCATCCACATCTGTTGCCATTAAAACATTGTCCCAGTTTTGGAGGGCAACAGTTCTACTCAATGTTTGTTTGTTTTCGGGTTTATGTAGCCTAACTTTTTTGGAGGTAGGGGGGAGTTTGTTGACATTTTGGGGGGATAACAGCAAACATTGGTGGTCAGAACGACCCAAGGGGGGTAGATGTTTGGCAGGTAAATAGGGGTCAGCCATGTTGGTCAAAATCTGGTCTAAGATGTTATTACTCTTGTGGGAGTCGAAACCATTTTTTTTAGGTTAAAGCGGTTACATAGGCGTCTTAAATTCAGTGTGTTAAAATCCCCAGCGATAATTATTCCTGTCGAAGGACGAGAATGAAGGACTTTGTCCAGACCATCAAGTTTTCGCTGTTTACCAAATGACCAAGATCAACAACAGACAAATTTGATTCCACATGGGATTTTTGTGAGTTTAATAATATAGTCCTTCCCTCATTTCGAATCATGCAGTCAGGTACTATAGTGTTAGAAATATATAATTTTATTCCGTTTTCTACGCGAGGTAGGGAATCGTTTACAATCAATCTCTAATAACTATCAGTTCTTAGTGTTCGTCTTCTTGCAGTAGTTTTTCAAGAGTTCACTTCAGCCTTCAACTGGCTTTCACTGTTCGTGATCTGTTCGTTAATTTCTTCGTTTTGTCTTGTTTCGTTTGAGCTTTCTACAACTTTTCATACATAATTTTTACTTCGTTGAGTCCACTCGATAGTTCACTGAAAGATCATCCACTGAGAATCCACTGAGAATCCACTGAGATCATACACTGACGAATTTGGGTTGTGCACGCCCTTTTATACTAACGGTTGAGGGATCTTTGTACACGTGATGTAGCAAGTGGTGTGATTTGTATCCAGCCAATCAACGTTGAGGTTTAAAAGTGTGGGTTGGCGTTGCTAGCTCGTTCCAGCCCTCAAATTCTGTTTATTTAAGGCGTTGTCGCACTGGTCGAGTTGGTTCGCTGTTCAATCGATCAATGTTAAAATATGTTCACAACTTAAAATACTTATCAAAATATCATAGTAAAACTTCAACCTATACCTATGTGAACCTTACTTTATCTACTAAACTAAATTTACTTACAATTTTATTGAACCAAGATTTTGATGACGTAATGTTATCATTACTCGACTGCGCGAAATATACCGAAGAATGATTGACAGAAAGGCCCTAAGCATGCACATTTTCATGTCAGAGAAGAACCAGCCTTGGACTTTGAATTATGTAAACACAACAGCCCACCATGCAAGGTATATATCGTCCAACTTTGACAACATCATTTATCTTGCCTAATGGACAGATAATTGACACTTTTACACAAGTCCGAAATGATATATACTTTATCTGAGTTTTACGGCAAAAATGCTCATTATCTCTCCATTTGACGTAACTAGTATCTATAATTTCCTGGGGTGCAAACTGAACTATTTTTATACTATTTAGATATACTTTCGTAAATATATTTAACGAATTTGCGGTCTGCCTATAACGGCACGCTTCACTGATATCGCTGTACAGTCTCATTGTATCTCAATTACCATGCCATATACACTGTAACTCTTCTCATTACAAAACGTTTGATACTTGTGCGACCGATTTCCTCAGTAAAGTCATCATGTATTTTTTTGTCCCCAGGATATCAACTTATAAAATAAAGGCTCTCTCTCTTGCCCTTAGAAATACCTCAAAACTTAACTGCTCTGGGATGTCAGTGTGGCAGGGGCTTCTAAGCTCTAGTCGGATTACTGGCGTGCCATACTGTCATCCCTTGAGTCCTCTGTGTTTCCAAAAAGGGATATATAGAAATGTGTGACACTTTTCTCAGCTCGCAATATTCATCGCGGTTCAGGGGATAGCAGATGAGGGCCGCCAGATTTTGCCAGCGTGTGCTACAATGGTTAATGGTTGTACTTTTGAAATGTTTTAATAGCAGATTCACAATTTCCTCATGCACCTTTTCCCCTTAGTGTAAGTGTAGGTTAACAGTTTGGTCCTGCGTATTTTCCCTTATCATAAAGGGCATGCAGATTACAGTACGTATACAGTAATTGGGGTCACTTAGAGAAAACTAACCAATCAAATTGCAAAACCAAACTAGAAAAAATCAACAAACGGCGTATTAGCCAATCAGCATTAGGCTAAAAACAATTCTAACAAATAAACGAATGTCAAACGATAAAAATAGACTTAAAAATAAATACTGCAGTTAATGGCGTTCTCAAGCGAACTACGTGCTTTCTTTGGACAAGCTGTAATTTGATTCGATTTTTATTATTGTTCTGCAGTCTGATTGGTTAGTGTTCTCTAAGTGGCTCCACGTACTGTAGATGTACTGTAACAGATTGGCCCTGCTTATTTTCCCTTTTGTATAACGGACAGGTTAACAATTTGGTCAATTTTGCGAATTTTCCGGGATGATTCTTTACAGATGAAACAGACTGTTGCGGTATTTTGAGGTAAGCGAAATAGTATTAAGGGCAGGTTAACAGTTTGGTCCTGCGTATTTTTCCCTTGGTATAACTGAGGACAGATTAACCGTATGACCCTGTGTATTTTCCTTTGGTATAAAGGACAGGTCAACAGTTTGGTTCTGTGTATTTTCCTCTTGATATAATGTCGTCTTGTGTATCTTCCCTGCATAGGCAAGTTAACAGTGTGGCCATGTTTATATATCGCCCATGAATGTTAACAGTATAGTCCTGTTTATGCATATCGCCCATGAATGCTCTAAGGTTATTATAGTCCTGCAGTGTATGTATTTATTATATGGCTTTTCAAAATTCTCTATTTTGATTGGTTGGCAAGCGGTATCTGGACCGGAGTTCCGGATGTCGTTTATCTGGCGGGAAATTTTTGCTTTGCAAACAGAAAAAATTTTGCTTTTTAATTCTCCAATTGTTTGTCATTAAAATATATAGATAAAAATTTCAAACAACCAAATTGTTTTTGATTGAGCGTGCATGCCTACCGTATATTGTTACCCGGTGAAACTGACGATAGCCGATTTAATTCTCGCGAAAAGCATATGCTCACGGTGTTCAGCCGTATAATAAACCGATTATTGACCTCGCTTATAATTGTTTGGTCTGTACTGTGAAATATCAGACTTCTCTTTTTTGCATGGACCTCGCTCCTTCGCCGTTCGGTCAATACTAAAAATCTTCAGTCCGATATTTCACAGTACAGACCTCACGCTCGGTCAATAAGCCGTTAATATCACCCCTGAATGGTGGCAGGTTAACAATATCGTCCTGTTTATGTATATATCGCCCATGAATCTTGGTAGATTGACAGTATCTAGTCCTGTTTATCCCCGAGCCAACGGCGGGAGCGCCGTCCCGGGCGTAAGCCCGGGGAGAGGGTACTAATTCCTCCCGGCTATTTACACCCGGGTAAGGGAAAGCACTAGCGAAGTCTAAAGTCCATCAAGTATCGCGGGCGCGTGACTATGGTTCATGGGTGGACCTCACAGATCTCAAAAATATGACTGTTTGCCAGGAGTGGGATAAGCAAGATTTCAATTTTAAAAAGCATATATTTGAAAAATCACGTTTCACACAATGAGCTTTGAAGCCAACCTCGTTCCCAGGGCTTTTCCCTTTTTGTCATTGGGAAGGCGGGAAAAGGCCCTGGCACCGGCCGGTCACATGACTTTCAACACCCAGATATAGTGGGTGTAATAAATTATAATAATAATGATTAGAAAATCCAAGATGGACGCCAACCTAAGAGTGTCCACAAAATTTAAGTGCTTAGAGCGGCTTAAAAATGCGTTTAGTCTTTGAAATTTTTCCTTCTTTTTGCCACCGACGTACTCGAAATCAAATTTTTCAGCTTTTATTACTATATTTACCAACTGGGTTTGGTAAATATCGTTCGTTCGCTAAACAAAATTAACAGCCAATTGAGCCAAAATATTGTATTACGACAGATGTTCTCCAGGTGGACAGGCTTGCCTAAGAGGACACAGAAAGTGTTTTGAACTGGGTGTGTTAAACTTGGTTTACCCTTCCAAAGACTCTGCTGTGCGACGATTCGAGCGAGTTTATGAGGAATATTTATACAGTGATTCAAAATGTTTTTGCATATACTGTATATGTTATTGATCTATTGTTGAATGTCACTTATATTATAAAGTGCCAATGGTTGGAATATTTATTCATTGATATTTTAAACACAGATGAAGTGTTATATGCTCTTTCCTTGTTTACGTTTTCCTTGCAGCCAAATATTGTTGAAGCTGGCAAGCTGCAAAACTGACATATGAGTGATATGACCCAAATATTGGATATGCATCTTAGTTTGCTTCCAGTAAAATGTAAACAAGACCTTAAGAATTCTATATGAGATAAGAATAAGATATTACGTTTAAACTCATGACTGGCAAATTAGCATGTACGAATTGATGCTTCCTAATAATAGAGTGTACTCCAGTAAAGATTGCTTGCTTCAATTCTTGCTGTTACCATCTGCACATTATCAGGGTGGAGTCGTGGAGAGGGGATAAAGGTAGGGAATAGATTTTGCATAACAAAAGGGGCAAGGTGCCCAACCAGTTAGAAAATGACATGTACTTTAAGTGACCATTCATTATACCCTAGGGTGGGGTGGGAGATTCTTATATCAAAATGTCATGGAACCGGGAACCCCTTTTTAATCTCTTAATTTAATAATGGAGACCCCTCCTAAATATTTAAGACTATATAACATGATGCAATTCTAATCTTCATTCATGTGAATGCCTGACTATGAAGAAAATACATATTGCAACACAGGGATGGGTCCAGCATGATCTGGTAGGCGGCGGGGGGGGGGGGGGGGGGGGGG